ATATTTCCAAATCAACAACAAAATCTACGAACAAAAAAAGGGACACCGATGGGATCACCAGTATCAAGACTTGCCGCAGAAGCAGTATTGCAGAGACTAGAAACCGTGATCTTACCAGTGATCAAACCAAAAATTTGGGTTGGTTGTAGAGAAGACACATTCATCATCGTCAAAAAAGATGAACTAGAAAACACCTACAGGCAGATCAACAACGTCTTCAATCACATCAAGTTCACCATGGAACAAGAGTCGAAAGAAAAGCTATCATTCTTGGACATATTAATCACCAGAACCGACACAGGTAAACTGGAGACTCAAGTGTACAGGGAGACGACCCACACTGATCGAATTCTCAACTACAATAGCAACAGCCCAAGAGCTCACAAAATCAACTGTGTACAAACTTTGTTCAAGAGAGCGAGGAGACACTGTAACACAATTACAGCCCAGAAAAATGAAGAAAAATACTTGAAAACCATCCTTCAAAAGAACGGCTATCCAATCAATTTCATAAAAAATACCAACCGCACCCATCATCAGAAACGAAGTCAAGTACAGAAATCAACAAAAAGACCACCTTACCATACATAAAAGTTATATCAGAAACGACAACGAGACTGCTAAAAACCTTCGGAATAGGTGTTGCTCCCAAATCAACAAAATCCCTCCATTCAATCTTATGCAAACCAAATGATGAAATAACAAAAGAAGACAAACCAAACATCATCTACAAAATGAATTGTGCCAACTGCGACAAACACTACATCGGACAAAGCGGACGCCCTCTTCATCTTCGCCTGCATGAACATCAATTAGCAGTCAAACGCCGTGACAAGTCTTCACTTATATCAAGGCATGTGGACAACTACAGACACACATTCGACTGGAAAAATGTGGAGATTTTGGATAGAGGCAATTCCAAATACACCAGAGAATTTTTAGAAGCTTGGCACTCAGGTCAATCAGCAATAAACAAGCACATTGAAATCAATCCAATTCATCAATCAATCAGGAAAATTATGCAGAAACAGGAACAAAAATAAAACCAATGGGGGATACAACCAAAACAAAGAAATAAACAATGACAGATTTGATGTCAACAAGAACCAATCAACATCGAGGTGTACAGGACAAGCTGTAAACCACATGTGGAGAAATTCAAACACTACTTTTACCCGAAGTTTATGCCGATGATGTCGTTCAGAAGGACGATGAAAGCTGGACGACCAAACCATCCAGCTCAGTGAATAAAACTCCATCAAAAGTTGAGAAGTTCATTCATCTATCGGTCCATATACAACCATATTTTAATTTATTTGTGTGCTAATGAATACATTAAAATAATTCACTGATAGATAATATTTAATTAAAATATCCTTAAGAAACTTATATTATAATCTTTATAAACTGCAAGTGTTTTCAAAATCCTTTTCTGATTGTAAATGCTTCTTTGAACCCTTTCCAATGGTCCTCCATAGTAGTTTCTTCTGTTTTCAGTAGATCTTTTAAAGCTTGGAACCTGATGTTGAGAGGTGTGTATGTGTGTGACGAGCATATTATTCTTCGTGCTGGATTACAGCAGCATATCTCTCGTACTTAACCCTTGCTGTCAAGTTTGGGTCCAATGGGTTTCACTAATTCCAAGAACCGCCAAGTTGTATCTTCTCATTTCCGTTGCCATTTGATTGGTCCTCCCGGTCTCTCACATTATCCGAACATTTCATAAACCTACAAAAATTGTTACTGTGGTTGTTAGAAGGTGCATCGGCCTCGTGATTTCCGAAGAACATCGACTTTCACCATGAGGTGTCATAACTTTCCTAAATAAAGATCAGGTCAGAGTTTGATTTTTTTCTGATTACCGTTTTTTTTACCAAGGTTATTTTCTACGGGGTGGGATTGCTGACTCTATGCGCAACCTTCCTCCTTTATCCGGACTTGAAAGCAGCAGTAATCCGAGAATGAATACAGGCGTTGTTTAAGCATGTGGATAGTGTTAAAACCGGATCTCATATCCTTAGGAAGTTACAGTTGTCGAGTTACATGGAACACTACTAGTTTATAATGTTATATTAATAAAATCCTTTAGATCAGAAAAATACTTAAATATCATAACAGTTACCTAAGCCAATCTTGAGAAAAATTTGCGATAACTTTTGAATACTGTTGGAGCTATATTTTTCATTTACTAAATGAGCTAGCTAAATACGTGTACATCTCCTCACTTAAAATATATTTGTATTTTCAAAATCGCTTCCTCTTTGTGCTTCTATGTAACATCTGAAACTTAATCGTTGCTGCGAGAAGGCAGTAAATAGGATTTCCCTGGTATCGCCTGTATACGCGTGGCCGTTTGAAAGCATTTCGAGAGGGAGAACACACTCTTCCCACCCTCAGTCGTACCAGGGCATTTAGGGTATAGTCGTGGAAATTCAAATTTGGAATAGGCAAAACTGCAAAATTCTTACAACCCAAGGAAAGAAGAAAAAGACTGATGGAGGGGGGATAAAGATTTTAATCACCCTTACGAAACAATAATTACTTATACCAAATGCATTTATTTATTTGTTAGTTTAAATGGTATTCGATGAATAACACATGGTCGAAACAGGGGATATACAAAAAGGATTGACACAAAATCAATACAAAATGTATGCTGTATTTTATATTGAATAAACTGTGCACTAAATTAATACAAGGAATATTGCACAGAGATAAAACGTATATTGAATTGAAAACCGATGTACTAATCAACTAAAATTACACAGAATTAAAACATGAAATGTTTTATCACATTCTAATAACCCCAACGTTTTCAGAAATCTACAGTTATAATAAGTGTACATTTTAACTATGCTTTTAAGTGTAATATAACTATATACAGACCATTTAATGAATTACTGTTTAAACATCACGGCTTAGTAACTGATACTGACTAGTTTATAAGTATGAACAAACGGTAGATTTATTTCTTTAATATAATATTCTGTTCGTTGGCCAGTGATCCTGTATTTTCTTGTATTGATTGGGTTCACATATAGGTTTTGTGTAGATTACCGACTTATCATAATAGTTACATTGATATATTCTAGTAATGCAACTCATTTACCAAGTCCAGGTATTCTGTCTCTTGCTTTCAGCTACAATATTTGTGTAAAGACTAGTGATACTCTTTAGCTGACCAGACATAAATAGATAAGATGGGATTCAGACATGAAACCTATCGATTGACAACCGTATGTGAAAATTTATAAATCATATCGCACATAGATATACATGGCACTTTAGATCGAATACTCGTATAGTAATTCTACAGCTTTTCTTCGCATATAGTAAGAACCTAACGGAAATTTCCTATCCCACACTTATTCTTCTTGGCGATCTGAAAAAATTGTACAGTTATTATTGATTTATAGTTGTGACATAATGAATTTACTTAAAATTTTCTTTTTAATTGAAGAACAAGTAAGTGAAACTATTCAGAGTATTCAGAGTAAATATTCAATTCTTGTTTTAACAGTTTACAGGTATAACGTTATAAGGTTAAAAAAAAAGAAATTAAAAATAACCTTGTGAAATGTGACACTAATTTTTGAAATGACAGAAAATCTGATCACATGTAAATCACATGAGAATGATGAAAAGCAAAAAAAGGTGATAACGGTGAAAATTATAAATAGTTCATATTACGAAATCTTCTTTTTTACACTTATAAACATTATACTTCTATGACAAAAAGATGGTAACTTTTTTTGAAACCAGGTGTTTGTATTTTCCTTACTTCAAAACTTTATTATTAAAAAATACATTAAAATTTGGTACAGCAATGTGATGCACAAAAATTAGTTTAAATAGGATGATTTCCACGTCTGCCTCTTCTGAATATATTCCCTAATTCTTTTTAAATATTCTATTTATAATTAGAAGTAGGTTAAATCACAAATTGATGTGAGTTAAGAAACCACTGGACATTTGCTTCATTCATCTTTCAAAAATCGATAGGAAGCCTGATATATCCTAAACGAATAATAAATGACGTATAACTGCTAGGAATTATAAATGGACTATCATTACATATATTCCTACTGGATTATATATATATCGTATTCCTTTCGTTTGTCCTATTGGCTATTGTGATAGGATTTACCATTATTAACTTACTTCCAATTTATTGGTTACAGTCTCCCATACTCACAGCCACTTTTGGCTTGATCTTGTATAATTTTTATTTTCTACTTTATGGTGTGATGCGGTCTGGTTCGCTTAAATATAAACTGCGTATTTCTGAAATACATGATTTATACAGTGGAAGCTGAGATTGTGTTCTGAACTCAACGGGCAGGGCTAGGCGAGAAGAACTAATAAAGACCCAGAGTTGACTCTAGGCTGCTCTTGCTGGTCAACGCGTCATCGGTTTGGCACACGGTTAATGTTGTATAAGTTAGTGTTTTAATTAGCGATCTTATCATGAGACAATTGACGGGATATACGACATAACAATACTGATTCTCCTCTAAAGGAAACAAATTGTTGATGCTGAACCAATACACACAGTAACCAACACTAAGAATTCACTTCTGCACAGAAATACTTGGATTATTCGACAAGATTTTCAATGAATTATTTAACATACAAATAAGCACAAAACAATGTATTTTTGTGCAATGATTTTATTCATGAAAACAAGACGCTAGGATAAGTAATACTGACCTGATAGAGTTCGATAACACATGAAAGTGATGCGAGAGATAGAGAAAACAAAAAATAAAGTGTTCAAAATAGTAAGTAAGAAAGGGAGCAAAAACGCGAAACAATACAAAGAACTACATGAACACACAACCGCATTCAAGCATTTCGATATAATTATATGCAGAATGAATCGATACGGGTAATATTAATATAACAGAAAGTATGTAAATGCGTAAATGTAATGAAATCATGGAGTTTGACATGCTCAACTAGTTATTAGTAATGCTTTTTATCGTTAATATATATATTCTCTATTCGGTAGGTTGAATATTCTCTGAAGTTTTTTCTGTATTCAATCCAGCTACTGAATCTGTCTAGAAAAGAAAATAGGGACGAAATAGGAAAGTGAGATCGAGAAGGATAGAACAAAAAAACAAGTGAGTCGATTGACTTATTTATCAGGTACTTGGGAATGAACCACAATTTAAGTGTGAGAAGTAGTTAGACTAATCGGTTTCTCAAAAAAGAAGTAGGTGGAGTGATGTTCAAATTACTCTATTAGTGGCTGCAAGTCAGGCGTCTTAACCACTAAGCACAGAATAAGTGTAAATTGAGCAAAATTAATGAAGCGTTTGCTAATTATTCTAAGCAAATCTTTATCATTGAGATGTTCCATAAGAATTGTACACTCATTCGCTACTCTTACAAAACCTTAGTAATTAGATGAACTTTCCTATTTTAATAGAAACTCAAGTTTATTCACAAATAAATGTGGAGATTAATAAGTTAAACAGTAAAGAATTCGTCAGTTAATGGACTATGATACGTTAATAAATTATGAGGGCAAAAATAGTAATGAATTTGCAAAGGTGGCCACAAAGGTTTATTTCTGGGTTAATAATAATTAAAAAAAGTAACAGTCAGCAATCACATTATTATTTTGCGTTATAAAACTAAAAAGATCCCTTACAGTTTCAGAATTATTTCGATTCAGGTAGAATGGTGGCTTCATGGTTTTGTTCGAAATTCTGGTCACTAAGTCACAGGTTTGAACTCCGTTTCCCTATATTGGTTTTGGAAACCGAATAGTCTATATCAATAACCTTTACATTTAGAGTGTGGTTTACAGTAAAGTACACGGATCTATGTATAGTGATGAGTTTATAGTAGTTATAATGTGATAACAGGCAGTTCTATAGTACAAAGTTAGCCAACAGTTAGGACTGATAATCGAGTCATATCATTTATTATTTTTAACTAGAACCATTGGTACAGAGTAAAATTGAGTTTCAAAATGGTCTAAAATATACTGATTTTGTGTACCACATGTTGGGATAAAAATAAAATGTACTACGATTACGATGATGATGAACTTACTGGTTTACGTGCTTTTGACTTCTTTTGCCTCTTTCCAACATTAGAATTTTTTAGTGTAGGTACTTCTTCATCGGCTTGGTTCAGTTTTCCTGTAATCTATTTATTGAAATAACAGAAACAACAAGAAAATAGATAACTTATATATCAGTCAGTCAGCTACAACGTTGAATCAGGTACGTATATGCTGAATGGTGAGCGTGAAGTAAATGGTTGTCACTATTATGATAGGATTTAGATAATCTGTCATAAGTAGTGAAGGAATTTATTGGGATTAAATTTATTATTATTTTTAGATTAGCGGTTTGAGTGTTATTTGTTATTCTGTTTAATAGTACGATACTTTTGCTTTTAGCTGTACGTTAAATTTCTTATCAGAGTGTGGTAGTTCTCTTTTTTTCAACAGCAAAATAATACAATGTTATGATCTTTTATTGCAGGAACTGTTTATTTACTTATTTATGTTTATCGGTTGGATTACATCAGTAAATATAAGGATAGCATAGATCATTATTTTATGCCATGGTTTACAGGATATATTAGCCTATTTAAACCAACAACCAGGAAATATATTTAGGACGAATAATATGATTGTTAATTAATATTAAAAAACTAGGGTTGGAGATGCTTGAGCACGCATAACACAAGTACCATCCACCTTATTGTGTGAAGGTTTACAGTCTCATTGATCAATTAACTATCTCGAAAAGGACTTCAACGACTAATTCTCATTACTCTACCATATCCCTATATTGCCTCGAAGAAATCTATGATCGAATACTGACAATCGAAGTGAATCTTTAAGTTTAGTATACTATGTTTCACAGCCATAAATTAACATATAGCGAATTTCAGGACAGTTTACTCACATTTTAGTAAGCAGATGAACATATTACTTGTGATACAATTGGTGGAAGTTAACAAAAACATATGTAAATACGTTGAGAGCAGTTGGAGGATAACTCTATTTAGTAATTAGATTAGATGAGTGAGCATTTTCATCAAAGCTGAAACAACTAATTTTATTATTAAAATCGTATTTGCAAGGTGCTTATCATGAATGATGTCAACGAAATTGCTCTTTCTTAGTTTCATGTGGGAATAGTATTCTGACTGATGAAACATAATTATATTAAAAAGTAAACAGTATAGGGTTCAGATAGGTTGTGGAAAGAGGTTTATTCGCCAACACAGATAGTTGAAAAATCTGGTTGAGGTAAATGAGTTAGATAGACTGTTAAGGGTTCCATAAAAACAAGTTACAATAACTGCTATAGGAGACCTATGAGTATTTAATACGGGTGCATAAATAGACGGAGGGAACATAAAACGAGAAATATTTAGAAATGTACAGAATATTTTGTTTCAGTGTAAACAATTGACTGGATTTAACTTACATCTTTCAACATTGATTGAGATTCTGACAATTGTTTACGAAGTTGGATCTGTTCAAATTCACTTTCTGATAAAAGTTGACGCCATTTACTTTCTGTCTGTTTAACAGATTCTTCTAATTTCGCTAAAACTTCTTCAGTTTGTATTAAAGTTAACTAAAAGTCAATAAGAATATGAAACAAGTTACGAATGAAAAAAAGACACATATCCTATGTTAAGAATTCTTAAATTCGAAAGTTGCTAATAATGAGAAATTCAAGATATATTTTAGTTTGTATACATTATATAGACCACCAATTTGGGAAGCTGTTTTAGTAAAGAAGAACAAAATACAACTAACTGAAATATTGATCTAGTTAGAGACTAGAGTGATAGACTGCTTGCTTCGTATACTGGAGATCCCGAGTTAAATCCTAGGTGCCCCCACCACTTTAATCTCAATCCACGATGAGAATATGTGGATTTTAGTGGAGAGGTGGCTCAATGGTTAGAGCGTTTGACAAAGTCATTGACTTGAACCCCGCTCCATTTACTTCAATTGGGACAACCGGGTAGTCCTGTGGTGTGGGCTACTTATATCTACATAAGTAGTATATAACGATGGTCAGGTATTGAATGTATTCCAGTAGAATATCGATAACGAAAGAACGGGAACGAAACGCAATTGGTATGAAAATGCATGAACAACAATAATCAAAGACGACGGACTAATATTTGCAGAAGGAACGGTCAAGATTGAGACGATTGATTGATAGTTTGCAGTGAACTGTAGTAAACAAGAAGACGAGTGGGGATAATAGAATGTATTTGAGCACAAAATTACAGACTATCTCACTTAAATTTGACAACCATACAGTAAACAGTTAATTTGCAAAATAACAGTTCATCGTCTCAAACTTGACTGTTCCCTTTGGAAATATCAGTCTATTGCCTCAGATTTCATTGTTCATTCATTTTCATACCAATTTCGTTTCGTTTCTGTTCTTATTGATCTTCTACTGAAATACATTCTGTTATATCTAGAGCTTTGTTTCTTACTATGCCGCGTACTACTAGACTACTTGAACGATAGGACCCGCAACGTCGCAAGAGAGAAGACAGAAGACTAGCAAGTAGGAACTTTTATTCCCCAAACAGCGTCGAAATAGAGTACGGAAATCTCATGTATTTATAGTTATTGGCTGAATGTAAATCATCATTTCGGTCAACCAATAGGCACATAGGGGGTCATTCTTATCCATCCGATGCGGAAGCTACACGTCGACATTCTAGAATATTCCCCTAGCCGTGATTGAATGGAATGTATTCGGCTCTTTCTGGGCTTCTTGGAGGCTTCCTACAGTTTACCAACGAGCCATCCTTACACATTTTATGACTGAACATCGTCAAATATTACTTATGTGGATATAAGCAACCCACACCACAATAGTACTTCAAAAACAAATCAGCGCTGGTGCAGCTCCAGCTACTTTCACGGACACAGATAAGCAACATACATAATGACTAAGATGAATCTATCCACTTAATTGTCGTGTATACTCTAATTCAAATATAATACGCATGTAAACATATGACTTGTAATCACAGTAAGAAACATAATCAACATATAAACATGGTTGAATAAGTAACAATTTACAAAATGTTTAATAAAATACTTTTCATTGTTCGATCAACGAACCTAGAAAAGAATTACTCAAGCGAAGTAATTTATTTTACTTGTCAGTATGAGGTTGTGGAGATTGTCGAATTTTATTAAAATTATGGACTGATCTAAGACTACCATTAAAAACCTGGAAGCACTGGGAGGCTGTTTCTTCCTAGCACGAGACTCTTCAACAGTGCGCATACATGACCCCACACGGGGGACTCGAACACAAGACCGTCTGTCTCGCGAGTAAACACTTAACCTTTAGACCACTCAGCCGGGGTGAGAAATTTTCTAGTGCACTCAATGATTCAATGTCTTTTGTTTATATTTAGTATGTAAATTACCTCATCATTCTATGAATATTATGTAAAATAAACGAAACTATGGAACTTGAAGTTTGTTACCTTGTAATGATCCACTTCATTTAATGCAGATCGATAAAGATTGTAAAATGTGGCACGTTCTTTTTCAGCGGAATTGAGATTATTTTCAACTTCGGATAATCGATTACGTAAATCTTCATATATATTATCATTACTATTATTATGTAATAATTCATTTTTATGTTGTTCATCTTGTTTATTAATACAGATTTCGTCTGATTTAATATTAATTATGATTGGTTCACCATTTAAATCACTATTATTACTGGATGATTTTGCTGTAGATTCTAGCTGGTATGTTAATTCATAAACTTTTTGTTCACTATTATTTAATTCATTAGTAACACGCATTAAATCATTGGATAAATTTGCCACTTGTGCTCTTAATTCACTAGATGCTGTTTCATAAGCTATTTTCGATTGATTAGCATTATCGAGTAGGCATTGTTTTTGTACATTCAATTCCTAATTAGACAAGGATGTAAAAACACTGAGGTAAATAGAAATATATTCAAGTAGAGTAAAACTGTTTTGAGTCTAACGAAAGTTAATAATTGTTAATGTGAGTAATACTGAGGTAGATGATATGATTTTTGGGGTTATTCATCTATTATAAATGACAAGCTCGTACTGTTTGAATAGTCCAACTGTACCAAAGCAGAAAACTAAAAAGCTATATTTTACGAACGAGTGATAGAATTCCTAATCAGTTATGCAAATAGTCTACACCTATAGCCCAAAATCTATTTAAATTACTAGATAAGTTGAGATGAGTTATACTATTTTATGTCACAAAGACAAAGAATGTTTAAACTCATGCGTACATACGTGAATATTTTTTTTATTTATCTATACATTTTTTTGACAAATCTAAAAGTGTCAGTCAGTCAGCCAGCTACAACGTAGGACCAGGCACATATATGCATCGGTCCAACTTGCCATACCTCGTTAACACAACAAGATGAACACCGGATTCATAAAAGTAGTTAATTTAGTGAGTGTTAATATATAAAAGAAAGGTTGTACAGGAAGAAAGCCATATTAAGCAGTTTCAATATCAAGGTTTAAGGGAAGATAAAGAGTGTATACACCTGCGCCATTGTGACCGATTCTGAGCCATGTCACACAGTTTCCAACCATTGGTTACGATAGTCGCTAGTGTTTGATGTCTTTAACAGGATAATTTACAGTTTTGAAAATAACACATATAATGTTATTATTTTATTGATCACTTAAAAGGACTTTTGTCTAATCATTAGTATTTTACTGTCCGGTATTTGACAACAGAACTAATAGTTATTATTTTCAACTCATTTTTATATCATTATCTTATGATTGATTGACTTTTCAAGTGTGACATGTGATGTATTTATAGTTAAAGATTACTCAAACATGCTAAACGTAATGATATACCAAATAATCCTTTTCTGTAAAGAAAAGAATATATGTTAAGGAGACAGAATTAAAAATTACTAATGAAAGACTCACTTACAGCAAACTGATATTCAAGACTACTAATAATTTCAGATTGACGTTTTTCTTTTTGTAAACTTCGTGATAGTTCAGCTCTTACCTCAGAAAGAGAAATAGACAACTCCTATAATAGAATTTTTAAAAAAATATGTGAATTAAGTGAAATTTCTTGTGTTGAAAACAATAATTTCATCAATAGGTGTCCGTAATATTTGTTTATATTTTATTATTCTTATTAACAGTAAACGATGAAATTTCTGACCATATATCATATATTTTGTAAATAACAACGCATGACTGGCTTTGAATCTGTATGTTTAATTATAAGTTGAAAAGTACAGATCTTTTAAGCACAATGTCCTATATGAGTGTTAACTTCTACATAAGTTCAAGCTCTAATGTAAGATTGACTTTATATCCAACAATAATGTTTCTTAAAAGTCAAAAACGTTTTTAATTTGAATTAAACAAATTGGTATTACTAAATCTCACTGTTATAAAAGGTGTTTACAAAACTGATCTAACTATGAATTAGATTGTATAGGTAAGTTGCAGCATGCATTCGAAAATAAGCTCAACAACAAGAGAGTATTTCTCCAACCGTAAATAAATCATATTTCAAATGTGTTGCTTATTTTCTTCTTTTTTATCATGTGGTTATTCAGATCATATTTGATAGATTTTCCAGTAATTATTTATTTATTTATTTAAACACATGAATATTGGTACAAAGGAGCACCGGATATATATGCGCCACACAAATCTCGTTTGATTTGTGTGAGGGCTGTGATACTGCTCGGGTGCCAAAACCAGTAATTACGCTAATGAAACAATGGTTGTTTAAAATATCTCTGGATAATATTATAAAGTGTTTGTAGTGTGTAAAGTTTCGTATTGGTTGTTTCGAAATAAACAACAAAATACTGAGAGGAAACAAAGCAACATAGCCTCATTTACTTGTCACAAAACATTGTTTAGTTGATCATCATGACAATAAATAGAAAAAATAGAAATGTTCAACTTCAGTTCTCTTATTTTATTTAATTTTTATTCTTTCTCACTTAACAGTGTCAACAATTACAAATAGTTTAGTAAATGTGAAACCGTCCACCTTACACATTTTTCTTGTAATATCACTGCAAGAAAGTAAAAACAAAATCACAATCTAAATAATAACTCTAGAGATAATAATAAATAAACTGACCTGATTTTTCTGTTTCTCTAGTTCTAATTCATGACATCGACGTTTTAACTCCATATGTACAGTATCATTTTCTACTTGTCTGTGGTAATAAAAGAAAAAAAACAAGTTGGATCATTGGAACTACTGTGGTGCATGCCACTTATATTGACAGACATAAGTAGTATGTAACACCAATCAGAAGTGAACTGCATGGCAGCAAATGTTGAGAAGATCAAATTGAGGACAACAAGAATGTAAACACAAAATAATTGCAATAACAACAGAAATGATGAAGTTTGTAAGAAACAATTGATGGAATATGTGAACATGAAGTATTTAATGTATGCAAAGATGAATAGTGGCTGGCAGTGGAATCCAGGATGCGAGTTTCATCCTAGTTGGGACTCGCCAACTGGACGTACTTGCATCTCAGAGTTGATGTTCACCCTGGGACTCGAACTCAGTACCGTTCGCTTCAAACACCAGTGCGTTATCCACTTACCTACTGAGTCCTGATAGCCACTTGCTTGTACAACGGGGTGAAGCTTAAATTCACTTGGTATTGGTTTACTTGAATCTTCCCATTGATGTTTAGGACTGCAACTGATCAGTCTCTTATTGACATATGTGCATACTGTGAATTAAGACAATATCAAGGCAATACATGCAGGATGCACATACGTCAATGAGAGACTGATCAATTGCAGTCCTATACAACAATGGGAAGATACAAGCCAACGATACCAAGTGTATTTAATGTATGGTTTTCGTAATTTACGAATACACTGTAATTTTACACTAAACAATCAATTAGTCTTCCCCACTTGACCTCTCCGTTCACTACACTATATTGACTCAAGGCTGATAGTGCTAGCTGATGTATCATTGGTTTAACACAGGGACAGGGTCATAGAAGTCCATATTCTGATTGGCGATTTTGTCCTAGATATTTGATGGGCCATAGAGCTCGCGTTTTCTCTTTTGAGATGTTAGGTGGGAGGCGTTTTTGTCTTGTCAAAATGTGAGGTGATTTCTGAAGTATGTGATAACACTTCGTCTTGTTCGAGTAGAAGTTGGGGGGGGTAGTTTCTAGTGTGTTAAGTGGTTTTCTGTGTAATTTGAAGTTTAATCCTTTTCCTGAGAGTGATTTCGTATTTATTTAGAGTTCTGTCTGAGATATTATGAACCATCCTTAAGGCATCCGAATCAACTTCGGCAGTAACTGTTTTTTCTCTTATTCTCATTAGTTTTTTTCTACAGTTCCTGATTTGCCTGGATTCTGAAGAGTTTAAACAATGGACTTCTTTCACATTAAGAACAATTGAGAACTGGAATCTCTTTCACACTACAATCACTACACTTTTCATCTACATTCACACACACGCACACAATTGTGTACTGCTAGGTCTCATACAATAAAAATAATCTTGACCGAAACGATGTGATAATGTCAACATAATCAGACCGATTTCAATTTGGATTGTACTAAAATATTCTGCTTTGTGTCCTTAGTACTATTTAGACGTGTTAATTCAATTTGTTATTTATTTTTATTCTCAGAAGTGGCGTACAACAAGTCAATAAATGTCAGAAATCTAGTTTCTACTCATTGGGGCTTCACATATATTATTTTTAATATTAGATAATATTTGTTGTGGAGATTCATAAATGTAACTTTTTTATTGAAATTCTTTATTTTGTCTAGTTAGCAAAACAAACTATGAGGGTGATTCAAACAAACAATATATACGAAAGTGATAGTTTGTGTAGAGAAAATGAAAAAAAAATAGTGATAAAAGACAGTAGTAATCAATGAAAACTGGAAAGTAACTTACTCTGCTTGCCGTTTAATACGTAATTCTTCCAGAGCTGTTTCTTTTTCTGTATGCAATTTATGGTTTTCAGCCCGGAAAACCTTTATATAAGCAGTGAGGGAAAGGAAATCAGTTTTCATTTTAAGAATAACGATAGTATGAAAAACAAGATACAATAATATAATTTTTTTTAAAGTAGATATACGTAGGCTTTAGGCCTTTCATCATATATGTCTTCGAAGCAATGTTTGAGTATTGTGGGACGGTCGAGTAAGCAGTGTTGAGGTTAGGCATAGGGTGTTAGGCAAAGACAGTGACTTGGTTCGTAATGTAGTAAGTGTTGATCAACTGAGGGAAAGCCAAACCAAAACGCGATGCAGTCCATGAAGTCACTGATTATTGTTCTGGGTAGCGTAAGGATATGTAGACTACCTGATTGAGGTCCAAGTGATAACAGCGATTGGTGGTAGGACAGGTTGAGCGAAATGGCTGAGAATCAATCACAATGGCATAAATATATTCACCCTAAGTCTTGGGTCCCAACATTCCTTCAAATATACTTTTTCATTCTACCTTCTGGGATCATATTCTTAATGTTCAGTGTGCTCTGATTTTTTTTCATCAAAATTGATCTCGTGCTAATATGGGAAACAAGATAGTTATCATATGAATACAATTATTTTTAATGTTGCATAAATCAATTTGAAATTACCTGTAAATCTTGTTGTTGCCTAATATTTGTTTGGCGCAATTGGGTTAATTCTGAATCTAATTGTTCAATACGTGATTTTAACAAGCAGTTGTCATTGGACATAGCCTTTGAAATTGAAAGAATTACGACGTGAAAGTATATAATTACTTTTAAAAGATAAATTTGATATGACTTTTCAACTTCAAGGAAATTTATTTTTCAACCTAATGTCCTACTTATTATTGCCATTTGTAAAAAATTGTAACTTCATACACAAAAAACCATATTGATATGACGGTGTTGAAAGGTGAGATCACTTTTTTTCCTTAATTCAGTATGATCGTTGATGAATATTACCTTACTTTTTTTAATTCAGTGTGATAGCTTCACAGAATAATATTTGTTTTATTTTCATTGTAGTGTTTAGTTGTATTAAATTAACATGAACTAAGTTCAGTATCATATGGAGTATAAGAATTTGTTAGAGTTCTGGACATCTTTCATACATGTGACTTTTTCTTAATTGATAATCAAGTAATGGGTGTATAAATAAGTGTATTTTCGACTAGTGTCGTCGTGGTTTTGGAGTGAAATCTTCACTTGTATCAATATTTTGTGTTCATACTTCGCGTCGTAGGAATTGAAGTGGTTTCTCTTTTTCAAGTATAAGTAATAAGGTGACACGGACATAATACATACGACAAAGGTTTATAAGGAAATTTAATGAATGTTTAGGTGATAAAATACTTTCTGTCAACTTGAGCTTTATTTTAATTGCTATTTGTTTATTGGATTAATATTTTTTTCATTATTTTCAATCATGCAGATGAATGTTATGATATCCAAGGGCTAAATAATCATTAGTAACATGTGAAATACAACGAAGAGCAACGATAAGCCACTAGAAACTGCACAATTCCGCGCTTGAAAATAATTACCATGATGTTATATCTACTCTCTTTCTACTAAAGTGGGATTGAATAAAACAATGTAGGCAGTAACTAGATGAGTAAATTATTTTCAATAAATAACTTTAAAATGAGTGTGGCTTTTTAAACATGTGAAGTGATTGACATGATGAATTACTATTAAAAAACGTTTTTCAAAGGTTTCAAAGCCACGCACTTTCTAAAAAGATGGATTTCTTTCGATGTGATTTCGTAGTTTGAAAGTGGAGAAAACTTTTGGTTGATTAAGAAAAGTAGATAATTTTGATCGATTTTTTTTCTCTGAGCTGGATGGTTTGGTAGTCCAGGTTTCATCGTCCCTCTGAACGACATCGTCAGCACAAACTTCGGGTAGAAGTGACGTCGTTCAGAAGGACGATGAAAGCTCCACGACCAAACCATCCAGCTCAGAGAACAAAATTCCACCAAAAAGTAGATAATTGATAATCCTCAATATGAATTGCAAACTATACTTAACCTATGGTACTATGATACCTCCTAACAACAATTTTTAGTAGATGAAGTACTATGTATCCTGAAACACTGTCAGAACTACTGACAACTCCAGATAAAAAAATGTATAAGTAAATATAAAAGAAGCCTGTTTATTAGATAAAGATACAGATGACCGTACTGGAAAGGTACTTGAAGTTTTTGTGATCATAAATCACTCCAAACTTGAATAGTCAAATTAAGTACAGTTTACGAGAAAACATCCGTGATTGAGTAAAGTGAATATCCTGCAGAGAACACTAATTATGCACAAACATCAACATTCGCTGGTGAATATATATATCAAACATAATTGATGTCCATAGTTAAATGTAATATTTACCGTAGATTTTGAATGAAGATTTGTACTAAAATCGGTATAAACTCCCTAAAGCTTGTTAAAAGCCTATGATATATAGTTTTAGAAGAAAAATGGGCGATTTACCTAAAAGAATTTTCACCAATTAATTTTATAATCCGGATTTACATCAACCGATAAAAATTAAAGTACAAATGAATACATATTTATGGTAGAAAATTATATTGTTAGTAAATGTTATACGGATTAGGAAAAAATAACCTCACTTGCGCTAATTCCTGAGCACGAATAAGTTCTGGTATAGGACCAGTAGGAATCGATGGAGTAGAAGCAGCCATAGCCTTAGCCATTGCAGTTAATTGAGTCTCATGTTTTGTTAACTGTTCTCGCAAATTAGACAATTCCAATTCAGCCTCTTTTTTTATCTTTAAAGTATCTGCATTTGTCTGATCTAAACGTTTTTGCAGATCACAGTTTTCAGTTTCAGTATTCTAGGGAAAAAGTGTATTTAAAATCAGCAACTGAAAATTGTGAAAATACTTATCGAAAACGAGTATTCATCGTTATTTGTTGAAAAGAACATCAAACTCAAACATCCTAAAGCACAAATAGCTTCCGTACCAAAGAAAACTTTATATGAACGTCAATTTTAAAGGTGATATAGCTACAGCCATTCTCAAGAGGATCTTCGATTTTCTCAACAGAACGTTTTCTGCAGCAACCTTGCGACTAGAGTCCTCCAGCCGATCAATGTTCAGCAATAATCTAAAGGACAAATTATTTTATTTGACCAATTCCATGTGCATTTATCAATTTACTTGTTCATGTGGAACCTGGCATATAGGTCGTTCAATGATGGCTGAAAGGAGGCGCAAATGGTTCAATAAGGAGCTCTATAATTGATCACCTTGTGGACACAGGTCATTCGATCAAAACGGACTGTGTTCAAAGTCATCTACAAGGCAAGTAGAAAGCTGCCAAAAACAGTTTGCTTTTATCTTCTTATGATTCCTGAAGCATTTCTTATACATTTGGAATAACCAGAACTACGTGAACAAAAGAGACTTGTATTGCCTCTACTTCTGCCATGATCATAATCTCTCGCAATTTTTTTCCTCTTTCACATCCATCTTCTTCCCCACTACTCTCTTCTCTATCGACTATTTACTCCCAACTAATTTATTTGTGTTTCCGAGATCCTACTGATTACAGTTCCTTTATCTTGTCACTCTGAGCCTTTTCTTTCCAGTCATAATTTTTTATTTACCTTCATGATGAATACTCAAGACCTCAACAACAAAATTATTATTAGTTTTCTTGATAAAAAATAACGTTTTTATGTCTTTGTTTATTTTACCTCACTGTCACCAGGTTTAGCAGAATTTGATTATCATTATTATTGTCATCATTATGTTTTTAAAAAGTAAGTATGCATTTGCGAATGTATAGCTTTGAAAATGAATTGACTAGGAAGATAACTCTTCGCTGAACCAATTTTTATTTCATGTTTCAGTGGGTATACTCTACTTAATTGTGAAATGGACTTACATTGATAAAATATTCATAAAATCATAACAGTACAACTTTATTGTGAACCCATAGTGAGAATGGATTCTGAATCAATATTTAAAAATTTGTTAATAAGAATAACGATAAAACAACATCTAAGCATTAAGGTTTCTTAAATAGTTACCCATTACAAGTGTCTAGTTTTGAGCGGGATTTATGACCGAGTTTGTAAGAATCCATATATTATTCACTAAAAACTTATAACTCATATGAAATGAAGTTGATAAGAACCGCTAAACCCCAAATTAGCAGCTAAATCTCAAGAATTAACTGATCTAAAAAACTTTAAATTTTTATTCTAGTATTCGTAAAGTCAGTCAGTCCGCTACAATCAAGTGATATAGATGATTATAATTTCTGTTGTATTTCGAAATTCATGTTAGTCATTGATCAAGACTCTCTCTCCCACAAAGCAATACAAATAAATGAGTATCCAAAAAAATTTGGTAGTTGAAGTTTTGTTGAATGTTGAAATAATATTTTGCTTTGAGGTTGTCTTTCATATGAATCAATACTAAAAAGCAGGGTACCAGCAAAGAAATACATGAACAACGGAGTTTACGTTGGATGAAACAGTGAAGAAGTAAAGGATTTACCCAAGATTGTCGATAAAAAACTAATCAACCCAGAAATTTCGCAAAACGAAAATTTTTGTAAATACAGAAGACAATGTAAAAGTTTCTGGATATTCATAGTTGGTGAATATTAACTTTATATTGGTGCTATTTATCTGATAGTTAATATGAACGTTAAAAATTCCAAGATATTTACCAGTGTTTAGATTTCGTTTTGTTAACGATTACGTAGGGAATTCAATGTCTCTGAGACAAAGACCTGTCTGTAAAAACTTGTTTACGACAGCTGGCACATAAACGAACAACAGATTATTGCTTGTTGAATAAGACCAAAATTATATATGTACTTAAAGTAATCAAAGCTTAGAATATTGAGCCCAGCAAAACGAGAATAACTATGGAGCTGTCTAGTCTATTCATCTGAAATATTAACAAGAAGGATGTAGTATAACTTCATGATTGCCCTAAAATAACACGAATATACTGAAACAGTTTTTATCCCCTCGGATATATTGAAGTACTTACTTTTAACTTTACATTCAGCAAGTTCTTCTGGTGTTCGAGTGTTTTATTCGTTCTTAAGAGTTCATTATATTGCATTTGCAGCACATGTAAACTTAGAGAAGATTCATCTTTCTTCGTACGAAAATGCTTGTTTTCTTCAACTAGACAATTCGCCCACTGGGAGGTTTCAGCCAGCTTGGTTTCACTAATCTGTTGGTTAAATAAAAATATCTCGGTATTCTTCACAAAATATAATCACATACATAACTGAGAAAAGAAGTAGATACTTTATTTTTAAACGTTAACTTTCTAATTAGGAAAAAAATAATGTGTGCTACAAATGATTCAAGCTTGAAATACAGGTACTTTGATAACAACCTATACTCAGTAGTCAGTCGGATGAGTTGAAAGAGCCTCCGGCAGTTACCAGATCCAGCTGCTGCTTCCAACTCATTGGCACACTCCCACCAACAGGCTTCTCGGTCCTTAAGCAAGCTTTGCTCAATTTCTTTACGTAACAATCGTCGTTTGTGGTCAAACTCACGGTCACTCGGAGTAGACTGACGGGTTTCAATCAGTTGTAACGAGCCTGAAGAAACCCAGTGCTTATAAGCGGGACGTTTTGAGAAACCGCAAGCGACTTTACTCGCCATGCAATTGAAACCAATGCTCATCTATAATTTTCGGTGGGCTGGTAGCTAACCTTGAACCTAGCTCGGTTTAATATTTAGTTGCAACAGGAGCTGCAACAAATTTGCTGACATTGGTGCGTTTCAGACGATGAATTTGTTGGAAACTGAAAAGCAAAGTAAGATTAGCGCAAACAAGGGCATGATCAGAGTCCAGATAGGTACTCAAAAAGAAGCAGCATCTGTGTATTACGAATCAGTAAGTGAATCTACCGGTAGATCGGATCCTGATAAATCAGACGATGAGAATGCAGTTTTGTTAAGATTTAAATTACTTTAGAGAGTAGCCGCCAAAAATTCTATCTCCTTGTCCAAGTCAGTGAACGTATGAAACGTTAGTTACCAGTCTGATTAATTTAATTGATCCATACACTTGCAAGTTAATTATATTCTCGAAATAGATAAAAAGAGAGTCGTGTCTGGCAAACAAAATTTAACAAATGCATATTTCGACCAATCATACTATCTGATACTTAATCTTTAATTTCTAGCAGTATGGGGAGCCAATTACCCAAAACTATATGCCATTTGACACGAAGACTCACCTTTAATTGTCCTTCTAATTCTTTGATTGTCGTGCGCAACTCCAATGCTGATGTAGAGTCACTTGATGACTCCTGTTTTCCACCCATTTCATATGGTTTAGCACAGTCAGTTCTCGATATTTCTAATGATTTTGATGAATGTTCCACGTTAGTAGGCTCAACAAATATGGCTTTAGGCAAATCCGCACATCTAACTGACCGCTTGCCTGAACGACGCTTTGACTTTTTAGACTTAGTGAGAGGAGCTTTTGAATCATTTACTGGAGACAGAATATCTGTGGTTGGACTAAGTTTTGAAGAACCTGGAGAAACGATGGAATCTGAATCCTCACTCTGATTTCTATTTAATGTAGATTGTGAAAATTCTAAACTGGGACTTTCGACATAAGATTGTTCGATCATGGGAGTAGAAGTATCAATGAGTTCTTCTTTACCACAGTTATCTTCATATACCACCGGCTGAATAGGTCTTTCAACTGACTGCTCACTGCTACTTGATGAATAATCGTCAAGAGGCACGTCTGATAGATGTTCATCCTCCTCACCAGTTGTGTCGTCTGACGTTTGAGTTTTGTCTGTTTCTATTTCTTCAGTTTGTTGAGAATCAACCACTTTCCGTTTTTTAACTTTCCTCGACTTTTTTGCGTCATTTTTTTTTCTCCTGCGAGCTAAGTTTTCTGAATCTTGATGGACAGGAATACGGTGAGGGAACAGAGTATTCCTGAACATAAAATAAAGCACACTGGATACTGTACAGACGATCATCGTTATTAAAAAACCCTGTAGTGCACTTTCGCTATCCCACTCCATTTTGAATTCTAAGTACCAAAAACAAAGATATTTGAACAACTTGCATAATTCAGACAATGTGTAAAACAATACTCCATAGATAAAGTGATTATTTAAGTTGCTGATTATCAAAAATTTAGCGGTATAAGCAATGGGAACAACCCTTAATCAAAATTCGTTATTATTTCACGGACGCTAGTCTAAATATTTGCCAGAACAAGCAACTAAACTTTAATTTATCGTTGGAACGGCAACGGGCAAAGAAATGTACACTGACAGGAATTCAAAGGAATCTAAACAAATTAGCAGGACGGTCTGACTCTTGACAATTTTAAGCAAGGACATAACTAAGCATAGCGATCATTAAGGCAAGAAGCATATCAAACAATGTTGAATTACACAGTATTGATAGTGATGTAGATGATATTATAGGCACAGAAAACTCAAATAGTAGCTGATAGGTCGGTCAGGCACAAGTAATATTGAACCTGGCATAAATTTTTCACGGCTCCAGTTCTTACACATTAGTATAGCGGGTAGAGATTATTAAGACAGGTATGTGATGATAGTAAAAAGGATTGGGGATATACAACATGATTTGGAAACGAATTCGCGGAATAAAGGGTATAAGAAATATTAAAACTCAGGATCTAATGGAAGACTAGCGGATATTTTTACATCATGTCACCAAGTGTCTGTAATTATTCGTCTGGACTCATAACAGCCAAGTGCTGAAGATAGTAACACAAGAAATACGCAGTGTTCATAAGCCTGGATACTAAAACATTTATGACATCCCAGTGTTTATTGGCTTAGAACCAGAGCATTGTATTAAGACGGATAGCGAGTTATAGAAACTTTGACAAACCCCTGAAACATTGAAGCCTCGATACAACGACGAAGTAACTGAAAAAAGTCTACTACCCATATCATACAAAGAGCCTTGAAGTGAGCTGACTGAAACTCTCTCATTATTTAATGGTTTTGTACTTGACATACTTATTTCTATTGTCTTGAAAAATATAAAAAATTTTCGGATGAAAACGTTAACAAATCTGGCGACAACCATTTATTAGTTAAATTCTACTTGGTGTCTCCCATTAAGCGTAACTTACCAGCTAAACAGACGGCAACAGCTCTCACCACATGTGTATTCAAATTAAAGTTGTGTAAGCTAGGTCTCATCACCAGGACTAACGCATGCTTTCTCTCATCACTAACCAGATCAGGTTAACATGTTAACAAGGTCAGAATTAAGCCGGGTTTGATGTCAGAAAAACGACATAAAGATCGAATGGAACAAGTCAAAAAGTTGTCTGGCCTATCGTGTTTTGCATTTATATAGTAAGTTCTTGACTTGATAATAGAGGATGCATGGTTAGTACTTCCATTCCTTTGGTGAAACAAGCCAATCATGAGGAAAATCCGAAACCCTCTAGTATTACACATACTATGAAGCAACATGCTCTCTAATATTTAAGAAAAAATGTAATTTGATGGGAAGCACTTATATTTCAATATTTTTGTGACTAGAAACTGTAAAAACCAAAGACATTATTACTTTGCTACAAAGAATTTAGGGTAGGACTAAACTATACTGCCGACCTTTTAACGAATCTTAAATGACCTTGAGAAATATTAGCCAATCAGAAGACAGTGTATAGTAAACATTTATTATACAAAACCAAAGAATTAAAGTGGAAACACTTCTTTTACATGAGTCAAAAACTTCTCAAGATCAGATATAGGTTCAGAAGTTCTAAAATCATAGTGCCCCCAAATGCCCTGGTACGGCCGAGAGTGGGGAGAGTCTACTCTTCCTCTCGAAATGCTCTCACATGGCCAGCGAATATATAGCCTCTGCTAGGAAAGTCCTACTCACTGCCTTCTCGTGGCATTACTGTTGTTTACGAAAGTGAGAGGACGAAAAGCGAATGTCCGGCGCGCAGGACAGATAACGGGGACCGTTTGCTGCAACTGTGCACAGACCACAACCTGTTTCTGGCCAGCACTAACTTCCGGCACAGTCATCGCCGGTGTGCCACCTGGCGTCCTCCCTCTGCATCCCAAGCCTGGACTCAGATTGATCACATCGCGATCAGCTACCGCTGGCGTGGTTGTGTACAAGACTGCCGCTCCTTTTGGAGTACCTATCTGGAGTCTGATCATGCCCTGGTCTGCGCCAATCTCACCTCACTTTTCAGTGGCCGAAGGGTTGACCACCACCAACGGATTGATGTTAGTAAACTGGCTGCAACTTCTGTTGCAAGTAAGTATCGAGCGGAGCTAGCCTCTAGGCTAGCTACCACCCCACCGAAAAGTATAGATGAGCATTGCTTGCTTCTTCACGACGCCATGAAAATGAGATGGAAGCAGCAGCTGCATCTGGTAACTGCCGGAAGCTCTTTCAACTCATCCGAGCCACTGGCAGCAAGAAGTCTGGTGTGAGTGAAACAATCTACGAGGATGATGGGATGCCAATCACTAACATCTCCCGATGTCTTGGACGATGGGCGGAATTCTTCGAAGGGCAGTTCAACTGGCCTGCTGCTCCGGCAACATCAACCAGCTTGTCCTGCCCCCCATGGCCGGTGACGACTGATCCACCAAACGAGGCGGAAGTCCTCAAGGAACTCCAACTCTTGAAACGTTATAAATCACCTGGCCCAGATGACTTACCTCCGGCTCTTTTTAAAAATGGTGGTGACTTTCTGGCTAAGGAACTGACTGCGTTGTTTGGAAAGGTTTGGGAGCAAGAAAGTGTTCCAACATCTTGGAATGAGTCGATAGTTGTCCCTATCTTTAAAAAGGGTTCACGTTGTTCCTGCAATAACTATCGGGGGATAAGTCTACTTTCGATTGCGTTCAAACTATTGGCTTCTATCATTCTTCGTAGGTTGTTTAAAACCTGAGAACGATTGACTCGCGAGGAGCAGGCTGGTTTTCGTTCTGGTCGAGGATGCATTGATCACATCTTCACCCTCCGCCAAATGTTAGAACACCGTCATACTTATCGCAGGCCAACAATTGTAGTGTTTCTTGATATCAGGGCGGCCTTCGATTCGTTGGACAGGACCGTTCTCTGGGATTGTCTATTGAAGAAGGGTGTGCCTGAGAAGTTCATTAACATCTTAAAGGCCCTGTATACGAACACCTCAGGCAGAGTGAGGGCATACAACTACCTTTCTCCCTTGTTCCATTCGAGCAGTGGGGTTAGGCAGGGTTGCCCGATCTCACCATTCCTCTTCAACTTTGCCATCGACGACATCCTGGAAACAGCTCTGATGGATGTAAGCAATGGCGGTGTGGATATGTTGCCTGGAGAACGACTTCTCGACCTTGAGTATGCGGATGATATTGTCTTACTGTGCGATAATACTCAAGCCATGCATTTCGCACTTAATCAGTTGGCAATCAGTGTCCGCAGGTACGACATGTGCTTTGCACCCTCCAAGTGCAAAGTACTCCTACAAGACTGGCAGGATTCTCATCATGTACTCACCCTGGACGGTGAGCAGATTGAAGTAGTTGAGAAGTTCGTGTATCTAGGTAGCTATATAAGTGCTGGTGGTGGCGTGAGTGATGAGATTGATGCACGTATAATGAAAGCCAGAGCGGCTTATGCCAATCTGGGCCATCTTTGGCGCCTTCGTGATGTTAGTCTGGCTGTAAAAGGTCGGATCTACAACGCGTCGGTAAGAGCAGTTTTGCTCTATGCTTGTGAAACCTGGCCTCTCCGAGTTGAGGATGTTAGACGTCTCTCTGTGTTCGATCATCGTTGTCTCCGAAGGATTGCTGACATCCAGTGGCAACACCATGTTAGTAATGCAGAGGTTCGGCATCGTGTGTTCGGGCGCACCATCTTGAGACACCGACTTCGGTGGCTTGGACATGTTTTACGAATGTCGTCCCAGAGACTTCCACGTCGTGCATTATTTGCCGACTCTGGGGCTGGTTGGAAAAAGCGGAGAGGAGGTCAGTGTATGACATGGTGTCGTGGCATGAAAGAGAGCTGCAAAGGGCTAGCTTTCGTTGGTCCTTCACGACTCCCTGGCTGGGGTCCGAGAGATGGTGCAACACAGTGGCTAGAGACGTTATCAGATATGGCTCAGAATAGAAGTCAGTGGCGATCCTGCTGCAACCTTCTTTTACTTTCTACATAAAGAATGGTTCTAACTTTTTTAACTGAGAGTCTTCTGGTTGTACATTTCAGTCCGCCTTATCTTTTCATCCCTTCTCTTCCTACTTTCATTATTTTGTGTGGCGCATATGTACCTGGTGCCCTTTTGTACCAATATATATGTGTTTAAATAAATAAATAAAATCATAGTGCATACGGTACAGGAACACATCCATATGGCTCCATAGTAGTCGACCTGTGAAACCATGATAAGGTCTCAAAAATTCTTTTAGCCTCGACCACACAGCTTCAATAATGTTAGTATATTGGTATGGTTTACGGTTCAGGGTTATGGTTGAGAATATAAGTTATGGACAACCTTTGAGCAGTGCTAGAGTGACTCTGAGAGTGTCAACATAATAACTAAGACCAAATGAGGGTATAAACTTGTGTGAATAATTCAAATTATGATTTAAAGTTCACGGTTAAGGCTAGGAATTATACTTAGGATTTTCATCAAGAACTGTGACATCAGCTATAATGACAAAACTCTATTTATCCAAATGGATAATTGAATTTCGCGCCAAAATCTTATGATAACTTCTCTTGTAGACGCTGAATTATCACGTCTTTCCTAAAATCCGCTGTAAACCGATCGTACGTAAGAATCAGGTACCGAACTTAGCGCCGTGACCTTGAAAACCCGCGAAAGCTTCTGATTGGTTCGGCAGTATGGTTTAGTCCTACCGAATTTAGAATGAAAAGTTTTGAACAGGTAAATTCCCTATTATTTGTATCTCGATGTAAGAGGACGACTCTGGATTTCTCGAACAACCTAGTAATGCTAATTTAGCCACTCTTTTGTCATAGTGAATGGGATGTACATGGAAATTGATATTTT